GGAAATAGTATTGACAAAAGCAGTGAGGAGCCATTTCCTCCTCAGGGAATTTGTTGGTGCTCTAGACAAAGATGACATGAATCTTGGAAGTGCCTGACCCTGCTTTACCCTCCCCGCTGAGACTCATTCTTTGTACTGGGCAGGATCTGGCCTGCAGCCCTGCCAGCTCTATGCAGTGTACCCCCTCTCCAGGGGCCGGACTTCCCATTTTAAGAATGACGCCTTCTTTTAAATGTGAAGCAGAGAAAGCTGCACTAACTCACCTGTGATTTCATAAACTTTATTGTGTACGATGAGTGAGGTTAAGGAGGGCCTTTCATTGACAAGAAGTGAGTTTATTTTTAAAACTGCAGTCAATTGTGGAGGGAGCAGGTCACAGCTGCAAGGGTGAGGACAGGGCGTCTCTCCTTCATTGTCCGTAGTAGAGCTCGGCTTCAGAGGGGTCAGGACAGCCCCATGGAGCTGCTCCCTGGCCTTCTGGTGGGTGAGGCTGTTCTGCGCCCCAGCTGTGCGCTCCTGTTGGCTGCCTGTGGCAGGGGATTTTCCTTGGGCCCAGGGTGTCCACAGCTGGTGCCCCCACTTTTGTCCTAGTCTCCAGCACAAGTAATTGCGTGTTTATGTATTCTCTACTGTTTCCTATTCCTCTTCTCCCCCTGCTGCCACCAGTCCCCATTCCACAGCTCTTCCCGCATGCCTTGATCCTTGGTGGCCACCTGCTACCTGAGTGAGGAGTGGTGTTGGGGAGAGTCGCACCTGATACCTCCACTTGTATACACTTATCATGCAGAGATGTACTGGCTGAGACCATGGACCCTACTTTAGGGTGCAATGGTAGGTTAGGAATGTGCCAGCCCCAGAGCTGGGGTTGAACTTGGGTTCAAATCCTCCATATCTGGGAGCAGCTAGGAGGCTTTTCTGATGAGAGGGTTCTGGGGACCACTTGTTCCTGGAGCCCCCATCCTGGACTGGTTCCCTTGCTTGGGACAGTTCTTAGCGAGGGCTCTTGAAGAATTTTTGTTTAATTATTGAACAAATGGGGCTCAGGAAGGCCCCTGTCAGGTTGAACCCCTAGACTGGTAATACTGATTCTGGGCACCTTTCTGGCTTGCCCATATCTCCTCTCTGCCCCTTGACTGCACTCAGGGTAGCCAGGCAGACTGCTTGTTGGGGGTTGGTGTGCTCTGACCTACCTGGCTGAAGGAAGCCAGGTCCAGCACCCCAGGGGGCAGCAAGGGTGGCCCCTGGGTCCGAGGATTGCAGCCCTTGTTGTGTGTCTGCTTGGGCAGAGCTGGTGCCTCCCGGGAGAGGACTGTCCTTGAGCCCACTTCCCTGATCTCTGGGTCATCACCAAAAGACACTGCATGTTTCCCTGCAGCCTGGAGAGGCCGTTGAATCAGAGCTGTCCTCTGATCTCCTTGGACTAGCTCAATGGCAGACTGGGCGTTTCTCCTGTAGGAAGAGGAGCTGTGTTATTCCAGAGTGCTTTAGCTTTTACAGTCTGATTGATTCATACTTTCTTTTGGGGAACAGGATTCTCTAATTTATGCAGCCCAGGGACTGGTGGGAGGGAAGACTGTGTATGTGTAGGGGGTGGGGATACAGCCCATATCGGGGGGGGGGGTGTCTGGGTTGGGTGAGCCTATGTGTGGGCAGTGCACCGCTTGCAGTGCCATGTGTGTGAGCAGCCCGAGCCGCCCGCCCTCTCAGCGCCAACCTCAAGAATGCTTGACCGGAGAGAGAGGGAAGCTTCCTTCCCTGTGGCTCATGACTTTAAGTTGTCTTAGCACATTAATAAATTCAAACCCCACCCCCCACTCCCAATAGTGGGATGTACTAGTCACTGGGCTGGTTCTGCCCCCACAGAGTCACTGATCTGATGGTCCCACCAGCCATCAACCAGCAGGGACCGGATCCCGGCCAGCCCTGGGAGGGGATGCCAGGCAGCATGCCTGCAGGTGGCCCTGGGCAGTGCTCTGAGGACATGCTACTGACCTTTCAAGTGATCAAGCAGCGAGTCACCTGGTTAAAAATAGCCAGGCAAGCCGCTACGACTCTAAAATCAGGTCTCGTCTCGTCCCACCTCCACCCCCAGCCCAGTTCCAGCAGCACTGTAGCTAGATTCTGGCTCTGTCTTCTTCCATGTCTTTGATTTGTCACCTTTAGCTAGTGTCTCATGGAAAACGGAGACTGAAGCATAGCAGGGTACATTCTTCTCTCCATTTTTCTTAGTTGTGTTACTTATAACATGAACCATTTGCTCTGATGTTACAATGAAACATTTTTCTTGTTGGTTTGATGTAAAAAATGCCGGCAGAAATAAATGTATACTATAGACTGTTCTGTGAGTTTTCTCTCGAATCAGGGACCAGCTTTCATGGACAGGAACTGCAATTGAAACTACCCCACGGCTCGCCACCGGTCACCCCCCTCCTCTCTGGTTTCCCTCATTGACCACTGGTGCAGCCTTCTCCCTTCTTTCCTGTATGTGGTGTTGAGGGGACTGACCTCAGAGTTCTGTGTGTCTGACAACATGTCTAGAGCTGTGTGGTCCGTGGGCTGTCAGCTGGGGTGGTGCCCCATGTTGTCTGTGAGCCTCAGGCCTCTGGGTGCCCCTGGGCAGACAGGACTTGCTCACTGTTCTTGGAGTCTCGTGTTGCTGAGGAGTTGCTGTGGTCAGCCTTTGTATTCTACATAGTTCTTCAGCTCAAGAATGCTGATCTGCTGTCCCCTTCTCCTTTGTCATGTGTGTTTTTCCTCTTAGGATTGCTGCTGCTTCCTGCTCTTTGAGCTTTCTGCTTGTTCTTCCATGTCTCCTATTTCTTTTGTAGTTTCTGTCTTCAACTTCTTTCATTTGGTCTTTGGATACTTCTACTTTCTTTAACATTTGGAAGAGGGAGCTGTAGCTTAATGACACTCAGATCACCAGTGTGTGGACAGATGAACTATGATTTTGCGTGTGGGTTGTGGAACATTGTAGACCCAGGGAGGGTGCTCAGCTCTCACTCCTCCCTCTTCCCCTTCCCCTACTCCCCAGAGGCAGCACTGTTCTGGTCCCAGCCTCAGGGCTGTAAGAGTGGCGTCACTGCAGGGGATCACAGTGTGCTCTCCCTTGTTCGCTGGGGTTGGGGACTTGACCTCGTGAGTTCTAAGAGGGACTTTTTTTCAGAGTACTGTTCTGGTTTGGGCACACTGTGGTGTGTCTCCACCCATCTGGTGAGAGCTATTTCTTCTGTTCCCTTTGGGCAGCTGTGGGTGGGACTGTTGGAACACCGAGGCTGTGTGTGTTCCTATGTCTGAGGTGGGCACTGGGAGAAGCAGGTCAGAGCAGGTGTGGTCCTGCAGGCACCTCCAAAGCAGCCTTGTGTCGGGGCTCAGACACGAAGACATGCAGTGGTCCATCTTCTTACTCCAGACACCTGGTGGAGTGGGGTGGGTCTCTGTGGGGTTGCATCTGCTAATCATTATGTTGGGCACCTTTCCATGTGCTTGATTGCCTTTTCTGTGTCTGCTTTTGTGACATACCTGTTCATATCTTTTTTATGATTGAGTTCTCTGTGTGTTCTGGATCTGAGACCTTGGTGAAATATATTGAGAATATCTGCTTCAGTTGGCAGCTTGACTTTTATGTCTTAAATAAATCATTTTTGATGAGCAGAGAGTGTTTTTCATGTTACTATCTAGATTAAACCCTGAATTTATTTGTACTTAATGTTTCATTGGATTATAGAATATATTGTTTTTTAAATTGAACTTTAATTTGCAAGATCTCTTTCCTGATTTTCCTTTTTAAGTAGAAGCTGCTTTGATTTATGTGTGTCAACATTTTGGATCCTTATGAGGACATGGGTTGGAATCTTTTGAAGTTGCCCTTGGTCCCTGAATTATTTGTTTTTCTGAGATTAGCCATGCTGAAGGTTCCCCTGGAATTTCTTTGCTCTCTGGCCATCCTGCCCTCGTTGCCACTTGAAGAGGCCAATGTGGTAGTGTTGGGTGAGGCTGGTAGGGGAGGGGTGGAGACTGATGATGCAGCTACTTGGGCTCTCACTGCTTACCCCATGAAGGTGGACACAAGTTGTGGCCACCTCTCCTCCATGGGTGGTCTGGGATTTGGCTGGATGTTCTGGGGTCTTCTGGCAGGACCCCAGCAGTCTGACCTTTGCCTTCTTTCAGTTCTGAAGTCTCTGTCCACCTAAATCCTCTATTGCTCTCTCCCTTCCTTTGCTCTTCAGCTATCCTGTGGCTTCCTCCTGGGATTTGTGTGCTCTCTTCTGCTATCCAAGGCTCCTGGTCGGGGAGCATACCAGCACGGGCTCTGTGGCATGTGACACTGAGGACATGTGTTCATTGGAGGAGAGAAGGCCTCTTTGGGGCCTCGTTGAGGAGATTCTCCTAAAGGGTGAAGTGGAAGCATAGAGTTCCCAGGCTTAGTGCAGCAGTTAGTGCTGGGTGTCAGGAAGGGTCAGGATGCAGGTTGCTGGGCTGTGCAGAGGGGCAGGGGGTAGGGAGTGGGCAGGGGTTGGGGGCTTAGTTGGGTGGGTGGGGGATACTAGAGTGTGCTGGCCTCTTCTGGCACCATTATGGACAGCAGGATACTGGTCCTTTGTGTCCTGCACGTCCCCTGCTTTTCTGGTTCTAATTGGCTACAAAGGTGTCCTCAGTCGTGTGGAAATTACAGGTGTCTGATGTGTCCTTTACAATCCTTAATAAGTGATGTTGGGGAACAGACCTCAGTTGTTTCCATGGAAACAGCACAGCCATGTTGCAGGGTGGGTTTTGAGTGTCTTCCTTGAATTCATTGTGTTGGAGCTCACTGGGGTTGATGAGCCTTGGGACCCTCTGAGGGGAGTCCCTTGGCCTATACTGAGGAGGTCTCTGGGTGCCTTTGGGTTACGTTCTTACCTGTGCCATTCTCTGGACGGCAGGCCCCCACTGGCTGAGCAACCCGTGGCAGGCATGGCAGGGAGGCTGAGCCCATGTTACTCACATGCGTGTCTCTCCAGGACCGGAAGCTCACCAAGCTAGAGCGGCAGCGCTTCAAGGAGGAAGCTGAGATGCTCAAGGGCCTGCAGCACCCCAACATTGTACGCTTCTATGACTTCTGGGAGTCCAGCGCTAAGGGCAAGCGCTGCATCGTGCTGGTGACTGAGCTGATGACCTCGGGGACACTGAAGACGTGAGCTCGCTGTCCAGCCAGGCTTCGGGTGGGGCTTGTCCCGGGCACAGGGGCCACCATAGCTGGGCGCCTGCACATCCTATCTGCCCGGGGCAGCACACATGAGGCATGTGGCCCCCCAAAAGGTGCACGGCCCCCTCTCCACAAACCACATGGCTCCCACAGGTACTTAGCCCCCTCCTCATATTAGCTCCCCTCTGACCCCTCACCAAGGTACTGGACCCTCCCTGCTCCAGCCCCATCCCTGCAGATACACAGCCTATCCCCACACAAGCCACATGGCCCCCTTCTTCAGGTACCTGAAGCGTTTCAAGGTGATGAAACCCAAGGTGCTTCGCAGCTGGTGCAGGCAGATCCTGAAGGGCCTGCTGTTCCTGCACACCCGGACACCCCCCATCATCCACCGAGACCTCAAATGTGACAACATCTTCATCACTGGGCCCACAGGGTCTGTGAAGATTGGAGACTTGGGCCTGGCCACCCTCAAGAGAGCCTCTTTCGCCAAGAGTGTGATAGGTGAGTCGTCCTTCCCACACGCTCCCGGCACACTGTGGCGCTGGGGGAGCACTCAAGTCCCGGGTGTGTTTGTATGAATCCCTGCATGATCTGCAGGTGACAGGGGTGGGGGACCACAGGCAGGGGCTCCTGGGCTGTGGCTGCCCTGTGTCTGTTGCCCTGCCATAGGCACCCCTGAGTTCATGGCGCCAGAGATGTATGAAGAGCACTATGATGAGTCCGTGGATGTCTATGCCTTTGGGATGTGCATGCTGGAGATGGCCACCTCCGAGTACCCCTACTCAGAGTGCCAGAACGCAGCCCAGATCTACCGGAAGGTCACCTGTGTGAGTGCATGGTTCCCCGAGGTGGCCTGCACCTTGGCTGGGCGCTGTGTGCTTTGTAACGTCCTCCTCATAGCCACGCAAGGATGGGAACTGGCCTTTTTACACGGAGGGAAACAGACCTAGGGAGGTGCTCGGGTCTTTGCGCCTGCAGTGGGAAGCATCAAGCCACCACAAGGGCCCAGAACAGTGCCTGGAGATGTCAGGACTCACAGCCCTGCCAGGAGGCACACATACCTGTCCTAAGGCCCCAGTTTGGGTCACCCTGGGCTGTAGACTTTCCAGGATTCTACTGTCACCAGGTCCTTGTCCTCAGCTCTTCTCTGACAGCGTCAACTGTGCAGACAGATCTTCCCATCCTCCTCTGCAGAATCCCCTGGGTAGGGAGCAGAGTCGGTGTCAGGATAGCTGGGACCAAGATTTTCTGGGGTCCTGATCCTTCACCTTTTGATTACCTCTTTCTTTGTGTAGTCTGGACCCTCCCCCTTACTCATCCAGCCCTCAGGCCGCCCCTTTTCCCCACCTAGCCCCAGACCTTACTCCTTCCTCATCCCGCCCCTCCTACCCTCCCCTTCCTCATCTAGCCCTCAGACTTTCCCTCTTCTTCATTCAACCCCCAGGCCCTTCTCTAGTTGTCATTAGGTCCCCAAGCCCCCTCCCTTTCTCGTTTACCCCATTCCTTCTCTATCTCCCCCAGGTCACCCCCCTTCCTCATTCAACCGAAGCCACTCTGGCCACTGGCTGGTGTGTGACATGGTGGTCCTTCCTCTGGCTTTGAAGGGCAATTTCCTGGCTTGTCTGAAACCCCCCCTTCCAACCCTTCCTTGTGGGGGGCTTACAGGGAGCTGAATCCCAAAGGACAACAGCCCATTTGCTATGAAGTGACTCTGCTCTACTGTCATTTCAGGGCATCAAGCCGGCCAGCTTTGAGAAAGTGCTTGATCCTGAAATCAAAGAAATCATTGGGGAGTGTATCTGCAAAAACAAGGAAGAAAGGTGAGTTCCAGGTGGAAGGGGAGAAATAACCAGCATTTAGGGGTACAGATCTGGGCACAAAGCGGTTATCATAGGAATGCTTGGCAGCCCTGTCGCCCCACAACATCTTGCTTCTGGGAGGCCAGGATCCCCTCAGGTAAGGGGTGGGGTGGGCAGGGGTGTGTCTGCTTCTCCAAGACCCAGGTGCCTCCCACACACAGCCACATCCCTGTGATCACTAAAGGCTCGCTGTGCTCAGCTGGCTGTGTCCCATGTGGGCAGCCTGACTTGACTTCTTTTCGGAACTCCCTGCTCCACTGTAGGCATGTTTCCTGTCTGTGATGAGGGAGAAGTGGAGACCAGTCAGGTGTAGTGTTCTCTCCTCCCCAGGGTGGGGGGTGGGTAGGGAATGCAGGTGCAATAGTGGTGTACCACCCTCCAAGGCCAGTGAGGTGTCTGCTTTCAGAGCCCAGGCCCTGCAGCTGTGCCCATTGGCTCTCCCTCCCCAGGTATGAGATCAAGGACCTGCTGAGCCATGCTTTCTTTGCGGAGGACACAGGCGTGCGAGTGGAGCTGGCGGAGGAGGATCACGGCAGGAAGTCGACTATCGCCCTGCGGCTCTGGGTGGAGGATCCCAAGAAACTGAAGGGCAAACCCAAGGACAATGGGGCCATAGAGTTCACCTTTGACCTGGAGAAGGAGACACCTGATGATGTGGCACAGGAAATGGTAATGAGGGTGGGCACCAGGCCACTTGGATGGGTGCTGTGAAAGTCTGTGGCTTCCAAAGATTAGACTGAAGTTGGCAAAGAAGCTCAGTCCTGCTTCGTGCAGGCAGTTCTGGGACAAGGAGCTGGTCTTCCAGGTATGCCTGAAGGACTCTGTGGGTCTGGGTGATCTGCTGCCTAGGTGGGGGTGTCCATGTGGCAGTGGTGCGTGAGGAAGGGTGCAGGGTGACTGTGACTTGGCTCTGGCCGTTGATGGGATGTCTTGCCCACACACATGCTGGATGCAGCAGGGACACAGGTCGCCTTCCAGTGGAATGCAAGGTCCTGTAGAAGCCTGTTCCCCTGCAGTGTGGTGAATAACACTAACAGTGTAGTGTCAATTTGGTGTGTCAGGAAGGCCCTGTTTGACCAAATTCTTGATGCCTTTACATCAGTGTGGGCCTTTGAGTTTGGGACCTCCTTCGCCTGCGTCCGAGGGGTAATGCTCTCTGGCAGGAGCAGGAATATAGGAGGATTCAATAGTACTGGGGAAATGAAAGGTGAGAACAATTGAGCCTGATTGTGAATGGAAAAGCTGAGCAAGAGAAAAGACCCACGTGCTCATCACAGGAGGTGCGTGCTTGGCGGCCCCTGGGAGAACCACAGCTGCCTAGCTGCATCTCACTGAAGACCACGGCTGTCACGTGTGTGTAAAGACATGCGTGAGCTGCGAGGGTGTGGCCCGTGCAGCCTCCCACTCTGAACTCCTGCCCTCGGAGGGTTGGAGGAGAGGCCTTGGCTCTGAAAAGTAGACTGGGGAGGGTGGGAGAGGAGGTGTACAGGGCAGCTTTGTCTTTTCCCTCTGAATTTACCCCCTAAAGTCACCTAAATTTATCTCCAGAGGTCCCACAAGTGGGGATCACGTGTGACTTGGTGGGGTGGGAACTGAGCACATGGATGAGAATGGAGATGCCTGGGAGGCTGCGCAAAGGTGGGTCTGTGGCGACCTGGCCACTTTGATTTGGGATCACCCCTGGGGTTGGATCCCTGGGAGAGAGGCGAAGGGGAGGGGACCTACAGCTGGCCCAGGGCATTCTTGAGCTCCCCCTGAAGACTTTGGGATAATGGGATGTTCCAGTGTGGCCCAGAATGTGGCTAAATTCTCCTCTATTTGGGAAAAAATAGAAGAAACACCTTGGAGAGGATCGAGGGGGGTGACTATAAAGAGGGAGATGGAAAAAAAGTGGGTCAGAGGCAGAAAATAGACATGCAGGCAGGCATGTCTGCGGGACGCCTTCCTTCAGCAGCCTTTGGTGGGGTGGGCTTCCGGGGCCCTCTGACCCAGGGAGTGCAGGGTGCCAGTGCTCGCCCTGGCCCTCCAGCCTCTGCCTGCTTGCACTGCTATGGGGCTGGACTGAGCCTGGGGGAGTGGCCTTGGCATGGATGTTTGCAGGATTTCAGCACTGTTCATTCTAAGAGTCATCTCCTGAAATCAGGATTTTGAATAATCATACAACATTGCAAACACACAAGGAACAGTTTGAGATGATGGCTCTGGCCTGATGCCTTATCACTCCAATGTATCAGGTTCCCACAGAGGATATTTCCTACAGTCACCCTGGCAGCAGGTCTGGTAGCAGAGTGGGAGAGGTGCCTTGGGGGTCAGAGGCCCTGGTTCCAGCGACACTTTCATGGTAGGAGCATGTCAATCAGGGCATGTCTGCCAGCAGGGTCCTTCTGCGGGGCTGCCCGGGGTGTCTGGGGACAGCCACTGCAAGACAGGATGCCCAGCGTGATCATGTGGCTGAGGGTGTCTGCCAGGCGTTTCCACATGAAGTTTTAATTCATAACTATTTCTGGGGTGGTCCCTTGAAACTACGTGAATGTCCCACTTTTATCAAATGTCCCATTTATGTATATCTGTACATACGTGGTTTTCTGTTTTATTCAGAAGTCACCTTCTCCCTTCATGTGTTACCTGTCCCATGTCACAGTCACCCAAATGCAACGTGTAAACATGGGACTCTGGTATTCTCTGTGGCTGGGAATCTGAGAGTGTCTGTGGTTTCTGGCTCAGGGCCCTCTTAGGGTGTAGCTGGGGTGTTGCCTGGCACTGGGTGGAGGGTCGGCATCTGAGCTTTGGCTGGTTGGTATCCAGCTGGGGAGTTTTTCCCTACAGGCTGCCCATGAGCAGGTGAGGCACTGCGTGTGGACAGATGAAGAGAAACTGAGTTAGAGGCTTAGAGAGGGAGTGAGAGAGAGAGAAGGAGAGACACAGAGACGACACTTGGTGTCCCCATGCTGCCCCACTGGTCACTTGATTGCTTGGACGTGAAGTACACTTCCACATCCCTCAAAGCACCTTGACATCACTGTTTATGGTCACTCTCATAATGTCACAGACTTGGCCGTGAGAGGCCCTGGGCACTGGCTCCATGTCGTCCTCACCTCCTCACTTTCTGACCTCTTGTGCTGTCCCTGTGGCCTGAGCTTGCATTTCTCAGGAGCCTACACTCATTGAGGCTGCGGTGCCAGCTACGTGCATATCTGCACGTATTTATGTCTGTCGTACAAGAGGACCGCGATTTACTCCAACCACTCCATATGGCGACTGTGGCAAGGATCCTGGCTTCTGCTGTTCTGCGGTTTTGCTACCAGTGTCCTCCTAGACAGCCGTGAGACCCATGGCTCCTTAAATGATCTCAGACAATACTAGGCAATCTGGTTCAGTTTGTCTGGCATACCTAGTGCCTTACTGGACTCACATGACAAAGAATGGCTCCTTGCAAGGCCTTAGTGACGTGGGCCATAGCTTCTTGTCTCTTGTCCCTGAGGACACAATTGCAGCTAGGACCCCTCCTGTCTTTGATTGGCCTGGGTGAGGGGGTCCAGGAAAACCTGTAGAGCCCAGTTTTGGGAATGGAGGCTGCTCTGCACATCAGCCTTGCAGGAGGAATGGGGATTCCCCTGTCCCCTCCCTCATCTAGCCACGCTCACAAGCACCTGCCACACTATTGCTTTTTAGGAGCTGGGCCCACACAGTCCGAGGCTCACTCTCCCTGTGTTTGCAATCAGTGGTGGGAGGAGATTGCTCAAATAATGAGAGTCCTGAGAGATGAGGGCGAGGGGCCCGACGGAGGAGCTCTGGTGGACATTCCACAAGCAGCAGTGCAGTGATTGTGTGGGGTGGCAGTGGTTCCCGCTGCCAACACGTACTTCCTTTGCAGATCGAGTCAGGATTCTTTCATGAGAGTGATGTGAAGATCGTGGCTAAGTCCATCCGTGACCGTGTGGCACTGATCCAGTGGCGGCGGGAGAGGATCTGGCCGGCTCTGCAGCCTCCAGAGCAACAGGACCCCAGTAGCCCTGACAAGGGCAAGGGTCCCCCTCCGACCGTGCAGGTGCAGGTGGGCCACCATGTGCAACCTGGGCCACCTGAACCCGAGGAACCTGAAGTGGACCAACACCTCCTGCCACCTGTGCTGCCAGCCAGCGCCACCTCTCTGGCCTGTGAGTACTGCCCCCACAGGGTGGGTGATGGGGCTGCAGGGAGGGGCTTGGGAGCATCCACGTGACCAGTGGGGTATAAGAGTTGCTCAAGTCTGTTCTCTCAGTGCAGGCAAGTCCAGAGTCTTCCCTGCCCTAAGCCCGCAGGGCTGGAGTGGCTGATTCCCACACTTCCCCGACCTGGTAGCAACAGTTGCAGGGACTTGGTAGGGACCCCAAGTGCTGGGCAAAGGTGGATGCCATGGGTGGCCCTGCTGCCGCTGGGCTGGCTCATCCTCAAGGTTACTTATCTTCCAGAGCTCAGCCTCGAGACCTTTAGCGTGTGTTCATGGGGATCCCTAGAAGTGAGAATATAGCATTCCTGCACAAACATCCAATGTCCCACCTCTGCCCCGAACTTTAGTTGTGAGCTGAGGCTGGAGGACACAGTCTTTCCTGGCTGGTATGTGAATAAGCCGCCTGCCAGGCCACCATGCGGGTTGCTCATGGGGACAGACTAAAATAGCCTGTTTAATTTATTAAATAGGCATTTCCTTCATCTATCATTGAGATAGCTAACTGTTCTTTAAAATAAGGTATTTAAATTCTAGCCAGTGACTGGCTATCACTTTGAGACAGTTTGCCTCCTGCTTTCTTCCTTCCAACCTACCCAAGTTTGCTTTAGAGAATAAAATTGCTCTATTTTTGATAAAGCTAAAAGAAAAATAACTAGAGCATGAACTGTATATAGGAAGAGCTCTCTGCATTGGACACACCAAAACTTGGTTGTTGGTGGGACAGCTTCTAGGATAGGAATAAAGAAATCCTGGATTGCTCTTGAAGAGGTACAGCCTGGTACCTGGAGCTGCTCTGGCTCTGGGCAGATGTAACGCAGGTCTGACCCTCCAGGTAGATGGGAGCTGATGGACAAGTGCGGTTCAGGGCGGGCATTCTTTCTGCAAACACATCCCTTCCTGCTCCACTCCAAACAATTCTGTGTGCTTCATGCAGTGGTCATGATGCTTCTTAAAAATGTTTTATTCATTTGCTATCATTTATTTAAAGTAGAAATATAGTCATATAAAATTCATGAACTCCAAGAGGGTATACAACAAAGTCAGTTAATCTTCCTCCCTAAAGGCAGTGTTACCAGTCTCTTAATTGAAGCTTCCAGAGGTCGTCTGCAGATGAAATCTGCCACACACTCACACATGCACAACCACACACGGGCCTGCCATGTAGCTCACGCCCACACACATGCACGGGTGCACACACTCATCCATACGTGTGCCCTCGGAGCTCTGAGCCCCACATCAGGGCCTCGGCTAGACTGCACGTGATACCTAAATGTGAGTAATGGGGATGCGGACTGCACACACACCACTGGAGAAGGATGAGGTGCAGCCACACTTATATGTGTTGCAAGGTACAACACAACGCACGTGCGACCCGCCACTGCATCTTCCTTAACTGCCCACGTAGCCCAGGCCAAGTTCCATAAGAGGGTGTTTCCAGCCCTCATGTCTGCGAGGATACACTTTGTCAATAGGCTTAGAAAATGGCTTTCGAAATTAATATTTAATTATATGAGCAATAAACATGTTCACTTGAAAAATTAAATGTCACGTCTATGGTTAAAGTCACTTTATTTGATATGTGTCAGGTCCTTACACGTCCTCTCTCTCTGATCGGAAATGACCTCCTCCACCTCACCCCACTCCCTGCCACTTCAGTAAAAATCAGTCTAATTAAACTGCACAGTAAACCTCAACATTCCTAGGTCTTCCTGGGTTAAAGTACATTCTCATCGGCACCTCACGGTTGTTTCCTCAGTGACAGGTGCCTGTTGCTTTCTCCGTGCTGATTATAAGAGGGGTCAGTGCTGACACCAGAAAGGCGGCTACTTGAAGAAATGGCTTGGTGTTCATAGGGGGGCAGACCCTAACGTAGTTTGGGAATCTGGAAGTCGTGAATCAAAATACCTTTTCAAACATTTTTTGTTTCTCATTCTTCACCAGCATGGCCACGTAGGTGACCCACCTCCCCATATGCTGCTTGATGAGATGAGCCTGTGGGCTGTGGGGGTCCTGTCTGCACCCCTGTGTGAGGGTGCTCCCTCTACTGTCATGGGGAAATGGTCAGCTGGGCTAACTGTGGTGAGGTTAGCATCTGGGGGGCCTGCCTGCACTTTGGGGCCTCTGGGTCTCCCTTTTGGGCTCTCTGTGGGGTGGGGGCCCTGTGAGCACCTTTTAGCAACCACATTGGACAGGCCCACAGTGAGAGGCCCGATCTTCCTGCTTATACTCTGCCATGGGAAATGAGGCTGCTCAGTGTTGAGCTGTAAGATATGGGAGATGTTTGTTTCCTCGACTAGACAGTAGCCTTTCCTAACTAGGACCTTCCATCAGGCGTCTAAATCCCTGTGCCTTTCACTGGATGTTCACTTCTGGGATCAGGCAGATACTGATATGCATGTGTAGGTTGGGGGTGGAAGCAACTCCAGCTTTGTTGAGGATTGTACTAGCCCAACCTGGGACCTGTAGTGTCTGTGCTGGGGGGAAGAATGGTGGGAAGGTGATCCAGCCACCAGGACCATCTCTGGGTGTAGTCACAGCCACCCCCACTCCATTCCTAGCAGCTGATTGTGTAAAACAGAACACATTTATCATTTGTGGGGTCTGGTAATGTAGCCAAGTTTTTGTTTTACAGAAGAAAACAGATGCTTAAATGTTTTTGAGGTGTATACAAAACATTGTGGGGTGATCTTTGGGGTGTCCTCTGAGCTGTGCCTTTGTCTTCTGCAGCGGACAGCACATTTGACAGTGGCCAGGGCTCCACAGTGTACTCGGACTCCCAGAGCAGCCAGCAGAGTGTGGTGCTGGGCTCGATGGCCGACGTGGGGCCACCCGCCGCCCAGTGCGTGTGCAGCCCTCCTGTGAGCATGAGTGAGGGCGCTGCCTTGCCCCACAGCCTGCCCACACTGGGAGCCTACCAGCCACCTGCCGCGGTGAGTGACACCCCACTCTGTGGCTGGGAGAGTACAGTGGGCCAACCAGGCCATGCTGGCCCATGGGAAGCCAGGCTACAGGTGAAGTAAAATAGCCTGTGCATATCTCAACAAGGTGAGGAGACAGTCAGTGGCCCTGGTGTTTCATGTGGCTGTGGTAAAGCAGGTATGCCTGTGAGCAGAGCTGGGTCCAGCGCTGTCTCACTGGCAAAGACATGCCACTTACGGTAGTGAAACCTTCGATTCTGTCAGGCATTCCACTTTGCTGAAGGGGGTCAAGTATCTCCCTGCTTTTCTCCACCAGGTGCTACGCAGCTGTTAAAAGTTAGAGCTATGAAAACCAGAACTGAGTGATCGGAAACATTTGCAATGATGTTTGAGCAGCAGGGTCAGAGGAAGCTCCTGCTTGTGCCTTGTGCTTATCCAGGGGGATAACCTGTGAGATATGGAAAGACTGAGGCTGGTAGCTAAAGTGGAGATTGCTAGACCAGGGATTGAATTTGGCATTCATTTTTTTATTGATTTTTTTTTTAACACTAAACAGTTGTTTACTTCACAGTCCCTAGTAATCACAGAGCGCCTGCTCTTGAACTAGCTGGTGGGGTGGGGTCCAGAGGGAGGTTTAGACCCCAGGGCCAGAAGCAGGTTCAGGGCTGTCGCTCCCCACAGGGCCGCCTTCTTGACATTACCTCTCTGCCACTCTATTCATCCGAGCTGGGCTCTTTCCAAGCCCCTTGGAAAATCAGTGATGCTCAGCTGATGGTTCCTAGGACTCATTTGCAACTTGCATTTGCAGTTTTGTTTGTTTCAGAAAATGAGGTGAAATAAGATTTTTAATGGCTAGAAAAGCTGATTTAGGTGGCAGCTCCTTGCTGACTGAGATAGCCCGGCTGTCCTGCAGGGCCAAGCAGCAACAGTCCACCACCTCACGTCCCCTAAGTGCAGGTTCAGGGTTTCTCATGGCCAGCTGTGGTCTGTCCTGGTCCCTGCACGCCAACTCTGTGTCGCTTTTGCTTTGCACATAGGAAACCCAATCAGGGAGCTGATCAGGACCTACCCTAGATAGAGGTGCCAGAGTGCTTGCCTATCTCCCCGCCTACTAACACAAAAGCAAGTACCTTGGACCCAGTGTGGGGCCTGGGTGGATATCCAGGCGTGCTAAGGGCTCGAGGGAGGGTTGCCATGGTGCTGCACCCTGGGACTGGGTAAAGGAGGAGGCAGATGGTGGGCAGAGGAGTCAGGAGCCATTGCTCAGAGACGTGGCCCCTGCCAGCCCCTAAATCCTGTTTGCCTGGGTCTGGGCTTATGGAGCAGGTGTGTAGCGGCATATTCTGCTCCATGACTTCAGGTTGGAGGTTCCATCCACCGTGCTGCTGCTTGTGGCATATTTTCTGTGAAAGATGAAGTGAGTTTTGGAAATTATTGCCACCTATTCCACCCAGAAGCCCTCAACATGAGAGCATGGAGCTGTTGATGTGAGAACAGGCCCAGCTTCAGTTCTTCCGGAGGCCGCCTGCCCCTCCTACTCTGAGGTTATGAAGTAAATCCCAGACAGGGCAGAGTTCTGCCGATAAATATTTTTTTTTTTAAAGATTTATTTATTTGTGCATACAGAGCTGGGGTACTGGCCAGAGGCTCAGGGGCAGTGAGAGGCCTCACCAGAGACACAGTGGGGAACAGAACAGGCAGATCCACGAAGTACACTGCTGAGGGGAGCAGCGGGGGGGTCAGGAGAGGTCTGCCGCGCCATGTGGTCACCTCGGGGGCAGGCGGGAATCGAACTCATGCGGAAGTGGCTTTAGATTCTCAGTGCTGTGCTTTAACCCGCTGCGCCACCAGGGAGGGCCCGCCGATAAGTATTTTAGTCACAGTGGTTCCTTCAGGGCGCAGACTTCCAGATCTCACCCGTGCCCATGCTCTGGTTCGCCGCTCACACCGCAGCCCCTTTCTGGTGCCAGGGTCAGCAAGGTCCAGCCTGCATAGTGTTCTTCTCTCAGGCACTGTCTTGCCCTTGGCTCCTACTTTTGCACATTCTGTGTATGATGTTTTCTACATTTCATGTAGTCCTGTGGGCAAGAGACAGGCACCTATTTGTATCGTTCCTTGCTGAATGTCCTAAGTGTTTCTTCATGGTTTTACAAAGTCCTTAGAGTGATTTTTTTATCTCAAGTTGCATAAGAGTTTGTGGAACTGATATTCCAGAACATTCCCTCACAGAGATTAGGCCCTTTTCTGCTTAGGGGTCACCCCATTGGACTTCTATAGAACCATGTTCCCCAGAAAAGGTGACTTTAGTGGGACGAACCGGCAGGGGCAGGGGGTAGGACAGTGAGAGGCCATCACCCTGCCTGATAATTGCCAGATGTGTGCCTGGTGGGGTCCCTAGGGCGGCACTGAGTGTTGTCCCTGTTATTCTCTGCAGCCTGGCCTGTCAGTGGGCGCTATTCCACCCCCCACCCGCCCTCCAGTCCCGCAGCCTCATTTCCCAGAGTCAGCCTTGAGCTTTGCCCCTGTATTGCCACCACCTAGTGCCCCTGTGCCAACGGGCCCAAGCCAGCCAGCACCCCTCGGCCACCAGGTGAGTGTGGGCTTGCCTTCCTTACTGTATGGGTCCCCGATCTATCCCTCAGACTCCCCTAACCACCTGGCCCTACCTTGTCCTCTCTATGGTGTTGATGTCTGCTAACTCAGGCTCCTGGCAGGCCCTTGCCCCCTTTCCTCTTCTGTATGGTTTCTCGGGGTGTGAGGTGCATATGGGAGTGGGGTGGACCTTGTTCACACAGATCCACAGAACAAAACATGGGCCAGCTGTTCTGTCCGTCCCAGGCTCTAGGCTTGGTGATGCTTTGTGCATGCGTGAATTGGGCACATGTGCGCATACCCCATATACATGTGCATGGGCCTGCCTGCACGCGTGCCTACGTGTGTCTACGTGCATATGTGCCCCGGTGCCCAGGTGCTTGTGTATGTGTGCTGTGTGCGTGCGGGGTATCTCAGCAGGATGGTGGTCTAAGAGAAGCCCCTTCTCTCTTTCCAGCCTCCTCCACTGGCCCAGCCGGCGCCCTTGCCACAAGTCCTGGCCTCACAGCCCGTAGGCCCTCTGCAACCTGTGCCCCCTCACCTGCCTCCATACCTGACACCGACCTCCCAGGTGGTGGCCCCCAGTCAACTGAATCCTATCCAGATGCCACCGGCGCCCTTACCATCGCTGGCTCAAGTTCCTCCGCAGGTACCGCTGGCCATCTGCCCAGCCTCGATCCTAGCCCCGCTGCGGCGGCTGTAGTTTGCCAGTGCTAGACTGTGCACAAGGTGCCAGGCTTCCAGTCACAGCTCTGTGGGAAGACTGTTGCACCTGGTTATCATCAGTCTTGCCCTGTCCCCCTGGCACTAGAGCATCTATTAGTGTCTCGTTAAACCCACCCCCAGGCTTGTCAGTGGTCATGGCATTTAGATGCTTCTCAGATACACAAAGTTGATTTACTTACTTTCACTGCCTTAAATTGTGTAAAGGCGTCTATTACGGGGTGTTCGTGCACCTACTCTGAGAGACGCTTTATTTTAAATCTAGAGCTGCCAAAATGTTCAGAGCCCAAATCGACAGTTCAGCCGGCAGGAGTCTCCAGGATGGCATGAAACAGATACACTTTCACTGACAGGATTTGATTTTGGTGTGAATACATACACACTGGGCAGCCAGGAAAAGTGCTTTCAGGTGTTTGGGGCCAGCAGTGGCTTTGATATTCCCAGCCTTTCCGAATAAGGATGTGCACGGTGGCGGAACTGGTGGTATCTCTGTGATCCCTCATGTCTGAGCGGCCCCTGCTGTCCTCAGAGCCACCCCGCAAGCAGTCCGAGACAGAGGGGCCCAGTGCCAAAGGCCCTCCTGAAGGCTGTATCTGAGGCCTGCCTTCCCTTCTCTTCTTGAATGGCATTAGAGTCTTAGCTTCTGTTTAAGTTGGGCTTGTGTCTGGGTTGCCTTGGGTAACAGCTGCATGAACGTGACTTGAGCAGAAGCCTGGGACTGAATCTGGTGCAGGCGGGTGGGCCTGGGGGCTCACCTGCTCCCCTGTCTCTTTCAGATTCCTCCGCTGCCTGTCGCCCCCCCCATCGCCCCATTGGCGACAATCGACAGCCTCCCCACAGCTCTCCCTACAGCCCTCCCCGACCTGCCTGCTGCCAGTGGGCCTCCTATGCCTCCCCCGTCTCAGTATTTCTCTCCAGCTGTCATCTTGCCAAGCCTCCCGCTCAGCGCCGCTGCCACCCCTCTGCCTGCGTCTCCGGCTCTGCCCCTGCAGGCCGTCAAACTGCCCCACCCTGCGGGGGCGCCACTGGCTGTTCCGTGTCCGACTATCATGCCAAATGTGGCGGCCGCTGCCACCGCCATCCCTCTGCTGGCCGTGGCCCCTCAGGGTGTGACCGCCCTGTCCATTCACCCCGCCGTGGCCCAGCTTCCAGCCCAGCCCATGTACCCAGCGGCCTTCCCGCATATGTTGCCCGGTGACGTCCCACCTTCTCCGCTCCATGCGGCCCAGACTGTGCGGGCTGCCCCAACGCAGTCGGCGCCTCCCACGCTGCCGCAGCCCCACCAGCCCGGTGTCGCCGGCCTTTCCGAGCAGGCTGCTCCAGCCGCTGGCATGGGGAGCCAGGTAACCCACCTGCTGGGCAAGATCTTCCCAACAGGCACTGGGACCCCCCTTAGCAGCTAGGAGTGCCATGGGCTCTCTACTTCTTCTCTGTATTCTTGATGGGGGGCAGAGGGCAGGAGAGCAGACAGCTGCAAGAGTGGCATCTACCTGGTCTTGCTCTGAGTAACACCAGCACATAGGACTGGGCTGATTCTGGGGCAAGCCAAAGGGCACGTGAGAAGGAGCACAGTGGCCTGGGGCTGTGGTGTCAGGGCCTGGCCAGAACATTTGGTGCTAAGTCCTTTGTTTAGCCAGTGGCTAGAGAGGGCACTGTGCACTCAGAGCTCACGGCCAGCCCTGGTGGCCCCCTACTGTCTGTCTGGTGGAAGGCCTGAGGTTAACTGATGAGCTGGGCCTTCACATCTGGCCACACTGCATTGCTAACCACTCTCACCAGCAGATCCTTGGACTGGGGTAGGGTGGGTCTCCTGTCCTTTCAGGGTGGGCCTCCTGCAGGAAGCCTTTCCAGTGGGACAGCTCCCCTTTCTCGTGTGTCACTCGGGACTCTGATGCAGGCTTTGACCTGATACGGGCGTGGGAACTGAGCAGCGCATGGTCCAGGCCCTGTGGGTTGGTGGGGAGTCTCTGCCGATACTAAGTGTGCCCCGCTTAGAGCTTTCGCAAGAGTGCCCTTGTTGTTTCTGCAAAATCCTAATATTAACATGCTTTGAAGTCAGGACTTGCCTTTGGAGGCCTGGGTTGGATTGGGCAGGGGTACCCTGTGTCCCCGGTGTGCTCGCTGCTTAGATGGGGGACCTATCTGCTTTGGTCCGGGCGCCTGGACTCCTCAGAAAAGGCAACGGCTGGCACCCCGACTTCCCTCTCTGTTCCCTGTGCCCCCAGACCCTGCTTGGCCACCCACCTCCATATGCCGTGGACGTCACTGCCCAGGTCCCCACCGTGCCTGTGCCTCCCGCCACCATCCTCTCTCCACCTCTGCCGGAAGTGCTGCCACCCACAGCCCCTGAGCTCCTGTCTCAACTCCCTGGCTCCCTGGTGCCTCCAGTGGTGGCGGCTACTCAGAGCTTGCCCGTCCAGACTGCGGCAGTCCTACCCCCAGCTAACCCGCCGCTGCCCAGTGGGCCTGTCATCTCTGGTCCCTGCCCGGCTGTCCAGCTGACAGTGGAGCCGGCCCCAGAGGTATGCAGCCCTCTCTGAGCTTACCCCTCACTTCCCACCCCCCATGTGGAGTCCTTGGGTCAGCCCTGGAAGCAGGGGAGGCATGGTTGGGGGATGGCCGTGTGTGGAGGGACAGCTGTGGAGGGACAGCCGCAAGGTGCTCTCCTGTTCCTCTTCCTGGATGCCATGTTTTTCTTAAATGCACATCACAGGGCGGGTGTGGTTTTTCCGGGGATTTGGAGAAGCCTTCCCTCGGAGCTGTGAAAGCCCTCTTTGGTTGGTGCTTGCTTTCTCAGGGACCATAAGGGCGGGTCAGCAGTTTTGGAAAAGAGTGCCCCTGGCTTATAGGAATCTGCTCCCTGCTAAGCACCTCAAGGTGGAGCCCCTTGTGGCGGGCCTGCTGCAGTCCATGGGAGCAGGTGGGGGCCGTGAGGCTGTGCGCATTGCACCTGCAAGGAGACCGTATGCCCTATCCTCCTCCTGTGGTTTGTTTCAGGAGCAGGCCTCTCAGGACAAGCAGCCCGGCCTCCTGCAGAACTGTGAGAGGTAGGGGCCAGCCTGCCCGCTGCCTTTCCTCCTAGTGCCCTGCTGTTCTTTGCTCTCCCACATCAGCACTTCTGAACTATGACACCTGTTTCCAAGTCTGACCCAGTGGGGCTATATTCTGTCAGTCCCTATATTCTGGGTCCTGGTACTGGCCTGCAGTGCCTTGGGTGTTCCAAAGAACGAGGCCATGCGTGGAGTGTTGGTGGCATTGGTGGGGGTGTGGGAGGGAGGCCAGACAGCAGGGCAGAGTTCAACCCAAACCCCGGGACTCCTGGTGTTTGGCCTGCCGTGCCCTAGCCACAGAACTTGTCTGCCTGGGGAGGGAATTGGTTATAGGAAGTGGCCATGCCTCCCCACCCCCCGTCCCAGCGACCAGGCAGCTCAAGAGCAACTGCAGCCCATGTGCATGGCACGTTCCACTGCCGTTCACAGATGGGGAGGCAGGCATGGGGGAGGGCTGTTTCCTGTGCCTGAGGCTTCCCGGGAGCTGATGGGGCCTGATTCTCGGGTTAGGACTGAGGGCCCATGGTTGCGGGTCTGAAAGCCCATGCAACCACGAGACCCTAGGATAGCCCAGATATGCTTTCAGGAGGGAGGAACAGGGCCCTGGAAATGGGGCCAAGGGGATGCAGCAGGCATGGCTGGCTCAAGATTGTCCAGCTGAAAGCACCCAACTGCTGAAGCTTCTGACTCTTTCCCCAAAACCAAGGCTCCTGCAGGGCACCTCTACATGCACCATCCATGACCTTCTTGGTTTTTATGCAGCTATGGAGGGTCCGATGTCACTTCTGGAAAAGAGATGAGTGACAGCTGTGATGGCGCTTTTGGGGGGGGTAAGCTGGAAGGCAGGGCCTCTCGGAAGCATCACCGCAGGTCCACCCGCATGCGGTCCCGCCAGGAGAGGGCCAGCAGGCCCCGGCTGACAATCCTCAATGTGAGTAGCCTGGCGGGCAGGCTGTGGCCAGGGGTCCCAGGGAGATTCCCCACCTGACTGCCGAGTGTCCATAGGTGTGCAACACGGGTGACAAGATGGTGGAGTGCCAGCTGGAGACGCACAACCATAAGATGGTGACCTTTAAGTTCGACCTGGATGGCGACGCCCCTGACGAGATCGCCACCTACATGGTGAGGCAGCTGTTCTGCTTGGTCGCTCCCTAGGATGTGTTCCTTGTCAGAGCAGAGCTGGTAGCCCTGCTCAGTCTGCTTTCCTGGACTTCTGTTCTGGATGCACAGGTGGTCACCACTTTGGGCAGGGCTGGCTGGCATTGCTGAGGATCATTTCTGAGCCACCGTTCCTATGGGTGCTTGGTTGCTTCATTTGTTGAGTTGTGCAGCACCCTGAGTGGCCTAATCCCTGACATGTGTCCCCTTGGGCCTAGGCAGAGCAGGAATCCATCAGGTGGGCCAGTAGATGCAGCGTAGTCATGTCCTCAGACATCCCAGCAGGGGTACGTGTGCCTTGCAGGTGGAGCATGACTTCATCCTGCCTGCTGAGCGGGAGACCTTCATTGAGCAGATGAAGGATGTCATGGACAAGGCAGAGGACATGCTGAGTGAAGACACAGACGCTGACCATGGCTCCGACCCGGGAGCCAGCCCTCCACACGTGGGTGCCTGTGGCCTGGGTGCCGGGGAAGTAAGTTGGCCACAGACTGGGGGCTGTGTGGGGGCCGTGCTGGGATAAAATGACTGCCTGATGGAGGAATGTGGGGTCATCAGTACAGGGTCACTGTAAGTGGGTAAATTGGGTCAACTAGAAACACAGATGTTGAGGCCACATTGCAATCTAATGGTGGCTCTTTTTCCATGTGGTCTGCTGACTTCTGATCCTTTACTACCTCCAGGAGGGCCGACAATCCCAAGAGAATGCTCCAGTGTATCAGCAAAACGGTATGTCTGCCTTCCCTCTGGGCCATGTCCACGCACCAGACCAGCCTTTTGGGTACATTTCCATTTGCCAAGACCCACTGGTACATTGTAAGGGGCTTTGGTCTAAGTGTTCTTTACCTGGGGATGGTTGCCCTACCTGGGAGGCCTCGTCCGGCCTGGTAGGGTCTAGGCATGTGTGGATTTGCAGCCCCTGGGCAGTGTTACCCCTTTACTGATACCACCATGGGTGTATTGGAAAGTAAGCCCCTGGGGAGCCCTCTAGGCAGATTGCCACCCCTTCTACCCCCTAAGAGCTGACATAAGCCCCCTACCCATGGTACTTTACCTGAGAGGTCTAGGTTAGCACTTGTTTTGTGGAGGAAAGCCATTAAGAATTGTGGCTGAGGTCTTGGGGCCCTGCACACACCTTTCCTAGTGGAAAATCCACATGTCTGAGTTCCCACATTCCCTTTGGCAGGTCTGGTGCTGGTGGTGAGGGGTCACACTGGCCTTGGGAGAAAATGGCTTCCTCTGTTTTTGTTCTGCCTTTAGTCCTGCACACAGGGAAGAGGTGGTTCATCATCTGTCCTGTGGCTGAGCACCCAGCAGTAGAGGCCCCTGAGTCTTCGCCTCCACTTCCTCTGGGCTCTCAGCAGCCAGAAGCCAGCCAAGGTATGAGCAGCCAGGAACCCCAGTCTCCCCCCTGCAAACTCGGCACGTCTCCTCCTGTTTTGTTTCACATTTTCCAGGGGTCCGCTCTTTGCATTTACTCTTTGGCTCTCAATGTGCTGGCACTTTTAATGTGGCCATCAGAGTGCCAGGGCTTGCCCAGAGCAGCCTGAATGTGGGAGGGGAGTCTGCCTGTGTACTCACCAAGTGAGACATGTGGGGCACAGGACGCAGGGACACAGGAACACAGGCTGCGCAGGTGTGTGCCAGGAGGCGCTGCCCTTTCTTATCACTAGCATGTGACTCACAACCCTCCCTCCCGCCCTCTGTGTGGCCCACGTGCAGTGAACATGCCCCTGCTTATTCTGCTTGTTTTGGGGGTGGGGTGGGAAAGTCTCTCAGCACAAAGACACTGTTTTTAAATTGTCCACATGGGAAAGTACCAGAGGTAGTCTATACCTGTATGGACAGGTGCCAGCAAACTTGTCCCTGGAGTTATCTGCTAAATCCTGATTTTTGTGGTCACTTAGGAGGCTGAAAATAGTCCCTTACAGATTTGAATTTTAGTTCCCTGTAAGTTGGTAGGGGAAAAAAGCTGTCATTTATATAACTCAACCTAGCTTTATGGTACATTTATGAAAAACTCTGTAAGTCAATTTTAATTTCCTGTCATGTGCTTCCATTATACTTTTGAGGATTTCTTCCCATGGAGAAAAGTCAGATAAATAACAAAATTACCAGCATAGTCACAAATAAGAACTGGTGACCTAGTAGAGGTTTGGGCCCACATACCAGGAGAGAGGCACAGTGTCTGCATAGACTTATCTTTAAGTAATAATGTGTTTATTATTTAAATAATACCTTTAATATTAATACCTAATATTACCTTTAAATAATAATGTGTTTATTATGTGTTTTTTATTATTATAATGTTACTTGATTTAAAGACTCAGTTAATTGGGAGGGGATCTTTACCAAAATAAAACTAGTTTTCAGTATGGTATAGTGACAAGCTGGACTTAAACTGTGCATTCCTTCATCTGTGCACTGATCTCAGGAAATGTTTTCAAGCCAGTTTTTTGCTTTTTGGTTTTTTTACCAATCAAAATAAGAAAACAGAGTCAGTCACTCCATGGGTAGCAGTTTGATTTAGATTAATTGTTCATAAGGATCACCAAAAATGTTGCACCAATTACAAGGATTTGGTTTGAAGGTGTTCAGGAAGTCTGAAGATAGTGGAGAGAGTGTCCAGGAGAGTTGGAGACTTGGATGTGGCCCAGCTTTGGCCCTATTCCTGTGGAGACATCTCCCAGACCTCCAGAGGTGGCAGAACTCTGAGCAATGCTTCCATGGCCTCACAGGCTAGAGCAAAAGGGCTTAGAATTATGGGCCAGGAGTGTATCCCAGGAGTGTCTTGCTAAAGGAAGGAGACCAGAAGAAGGTAGGCCAGTCAGAGAGTATTGCACCAAGATTACTTCAGAGCATTGCCTTCATAAGTGTGCAAGTGGATGGTTTCTCTCCAGAGGTTCAGAAAGTGAAGTCCCAGAGCTCCAGGAATCATAGGAAGGGAGGAAATTAGGAAAGCAAATTCTCTCCCCACTTCCTGGAAGATATCGAAAAGAAGTATAGCTATTAACGAACAGTTCATATCAATAATCACCTTAAATGTGAGTGGCTGAATTCACCGATAAGAAGACATAGACTAACAGTGTGGATGAAAAGTGTCAGCCGCCAACACTTTGTTTATAAGAGACCCTTTTAAAACCAAAAGACAAAAAAAAAGAGTAAAAATAATAGTTTGGAGTAAGATCTAGATGCTCTAAACTCAGAGGAAGGCAGAAACTATTCTTATATAAGATAAACAAGACTTTCCACAAAAAAAGGTAGCCAGGGACAAAGGTAGATACTATATAATTATCAGGCACTAATTCACCAAGAAGATAGAAATGTTACTTTATTGCAGCACCTAATACAGGAGCACCTAGTCCTATAAAGCAACTGTTAGTAGATACAAAACAAAGATAAAAATCCATTTGTTGGAGGTTTCAACATACCACTGAAACAGAGGGATGGATCATCCAGAAAGAAAATTAACAAAGAAATAAAGCCTTAAGTGACGTGTTAACACAGATAGATTTATTAGACATTTATAGAGCTTTCCATCCCCAGAGAAATTAATAAACTTTTTTTCTTCAATGCACATGGGACATTCTCAAGAATAGTTCATGCACCAAGGCATACAACATGTCTCAGAAGATATAAGAAAATAGAAGGTATACCAATCTTCTTTGCAGACTACAATGTTATAAAAATAGAAATGAACCTCAAAAAGAACCCTCCAAAATATGTGGAGTCTAAACAAAATGTTTCTCCACAACTCTGGAGTTCATGAAGAAATAAAAGACAAAAAGTATCTAGAGACCTACTGAAAATGGAAAGACATTCTAAGAGACCCTATGAGAGGCTCTAATGCTCAAAAAGCAGTATTACATGGGATGTTTATAGCATACAGGCCCATGTTAAAGAAATATAATATCTCAAATTATCATTCTAACTGTGCAGCTGAAGGAACTAGAAAAAGAAGAAACAAATGCATAAAAAAAAAA